GTGAGTGAGTGAGTGAGTGAGTGAGTGTGAGTGTGTGTGTGTACATATATATACACTGCTCTTCAAAAGTTTGGGATCTGTACGAATTTTCGTGTTTTTAAAGAAGTCTCTTCTGCTCACCAAGGCTGCATTTATTTGATCAAAAATACAGAAAAACACTGAAATATTATATATTTATATTAAAATAGCTGTTTTCTATGTGAATCTCTGTTAAACTGTAATGTATTTCTGTGATGCGCAGCTGTGTCACATGATCTTCAGAAATCATTATAATATGCTGATTTGCTGCTCAACAAACATTTCTGATTTATTATTGATGTTAGAAACAGGTTTTTGCTGCTTCATATTTTTTTGGAACCTGTGATAATTTTTCAAGATTCTTTGATGAAAAAAAGTAAAAAATAAAAATAAAAAAAAAGAGCAGCATTTACTTAAAATAGAAATATTTTGTAACAATTTACACTACCGTTCAAAAGTTTGTGTCTGTAAATGTTTTTCTTTTAATTAATACTTTTATTCATCAAAGATGTGTAAAATTTATAAAAAGTGACAGTAAAGACCTATATTGTTACAAAAGGTGCAAAATAAAATGAAAAATAATTTTAGTAATGATATTTTTGGGTTAAATGTGTCTAATTACAATATCATGAACAATATCACAATGCGCAAAAAAAAAAGTCCTCATTTTCTTCATGCAAAATATTATTTTATTAGTTTATTAATAATTAATACTTTTTTCCCCTGAGCTGGAACATGATCCGGATGTGTTTTGTGTGAAAATCTTCCCAAAAGCTCATTTCTCAGACTCACCGACCGACTGAAGAACTGAAACGTCTGTTTGATGTGATTTGTGTTTGTGTTGTTTAGGAATAATCTCATCAACTGAAAACCAACACGCGACCTCTGACCTCCGACCTCTGCCGAGATCTTCATCATCAAGCCATCAGCTTCAGCCTCGTCAAACCAAACCTGCGCTGAGATGATTGACTCGCAAACAAAAAAAATATTTGCCTTAAAATGTCTCAAAATATTAATTTCTGCCACTTGGGTTTATTTATGGTGCAGTGTGAATTTCACAGAAACGCATCCAGGTCAAAATTAAAAGGATTTTTTCCCTTTAATTTTGATTTTTCTCTTCAAACTCAACAAACTGAATTGAAACTCGTTTGTACTTGAATCATAAGCATGTTTTTATTGCAATGCTTGTTCACTTGTTAGTTTTTGTTGTTTTTTTTAGCACTAACTGATCCTGCATTATAAATGCAAAACGGCAAAAAATGAGTACAAAAAAAAAGAAAGTTAACCACTATTTTAAGGGCTTTTGGTAACTTTGTAAAACAGCGGCTTATTTGTTGGAGCAGAAACACAGCGGCGCTTCAGTTTGATTCCCACAGAAGCTCTGCAGTAGAAACCCCTTCGTCTTGACCTTTGACCCTGAGAGGTCGTGGTGTTTTTAGCATGTGTAACGGGATGGGATTGAACCAGCGACAAAAGAGCGATAAATGCAATTGATGTGATTTTTATTGTGGAATAAAGTATTGCTGAAATCGATGCGGTTTGTGTTTGTGGTTATTAGAGAGCTGCATCAGTGGTGAGATATCACAAATCACCTGTGTTTTGTTTTCATGCGTCTTTATAATGCGATTCTGCTCATAATTAGAGTCTCTAATCACAGGAAAAATACGTTTCCACACCTCTGATATTTTTGCTGTAATAACAAAGCTGCTCGTTTTAAACTTTTTATTTACAGGAACTAGGAGTGGCAATGCATTAACATCAGTAAATTTAAATAATTAAATTATGTGATTTCCAAAAATCTCACACTTTATGATCAATGAATTTACTTCATTTTTCCAGTTGTTCATGATCAGTTTAGCTCGACAAGACTATAAAAATCCAGATTCGTTATAGAAATAATTTTATTAATTTCCATAGCTTTTTCTCATCTATGAAACATACTTTTAAAATTCGATCATATATTCAGGGTTTCCGAGAGCGTGAGAATCCTGGTTGTGAATTACACGCCAGAGCGCAAATGATGATAATGTGTTTGTATATGCAGAGGTGTAAAGAGTACCTAAAAACCATACTTGAGTAAAAGTAGATACCTTACTCCACTACACGTTACAAGTCACCAATTCCAAAACAACTTGAGTAAAAGTCTGAGTATCTGATTTTAACAGTACTTAAGTATTTTACTTATACTAAACATAGGCTCAAAGACGCACTAGTCAAAGAGACATGCCAGTGAAAAACTGTAACGTTGTGGAGAAGCTGCGGAAAAGGCAGAGGCAATGATCTGTGTGCTGGTATTTAGTGGAAAAACTAGAACAAACAATAAACCAAAGGGAACAAAGAACAGAACGACTGGCAAACAGAAACCCATTACATTCAACAACTCACAAGGACCTAAAGAAAAACTAGGGCTATACAGTGGGCTAACAAGCTTAACAAGATAAGACACACCTGGGGAGACTAATCAAGGGGAACCAATGAACAAACGGACTACAAACTGACTACAAACACCACGGGAGACAGGAAGTGACATAAAAGTCCAGGGCAAGGCACAGAGAGCATGACACAAACTAGAAAGAGTTGATTTGTGAGGAGAGCACGTTTATTTTCTAAAACCAAAATAAAGCTGAACACCTCAAAATTACAAAACAAACAAAAACAATATCTTTCAAAAAGGTCTCTTCAGTATAATGGATAAATAAAATAATGTTAAGTAAAATTAAAAATCTGAAGCCTTCTTGCAGTGGCTGTGCTGGTTTGGGCCTCATTACCAGCTGCAGTCATGTCCTCATCTCATATATAAAGGTTTCATTTAGATTTGTCTGTGCATGTTTTTTTTACACTCATAGATTTTGTTACCATTGCCATGCATTATATGACTGACAGACTGCAACGGCTGGAGTTAAAAATCATAATTTGTGTTCTACTGAAGAAACAAAGTCACCTACATCTTGGATCCCCTGGGGGTAAGCAGATAAACATCACATTTTCATTTTTGGGTGAACTATTCCTTTAAGGTTTTAGTTTTAGTTAGCTGTAATAACCCTGCTTCTTGTGGCCCCTTGTCGGTGAGCTGAAGCCTCCAGTGCTTTTCACTATGAAGGGCCAAAAGCAAATGTTGCATTATATCCAAATATATTAAAAATATAAAACTAAACTTCCAGTATATTCTCTAAATTTCGATGCAAAAATAGAACAAGAAGTATTAAGTTATAAATGAAGATACGCTGCAGTGGCGTGTTTTTGTCTGTTTTCGTGGCTCTGCAGTCGCTCTCTGTGTCCAATAGATGTCTGTCTCTGCTCTCGGTTCTTCTGTTCAGCGCTGATGTAGTGAGTTTGATCTGCTGCTGATCCACAGGAGGCTTTCTGAGCTTTTACTCTTACGCTTCTGCTGTGAGAGACTCCGTTCATTTCATGATTGATTGTTTTGTTCAAATGCAGAAATGTGTTTCAGCTCATTGTCGCTGATGTGCTTTGAGTGAAGAGTCACCATCAGAGCCAATCAGAGCATGTGTGTGTGTGGAACTCGCATTCACATAAAGTAGCCTTGCTGACAAGTTTGGGTGAGTAAGGGCAAAATGCACAAGATGCAGTACTTTCAGTGACCTGTAGTTGGCAGTATCACGTCTTTTGTAGCAGAAATAAACTGCTGCAGAAAAAGCTAGGTCCATGCAAAATGTAATGTGTAACTGCAACACTCATTTCAAATGTAGTGGAGTAAAGAGTACAGATACTCGTTCAAAAATTTAGTGAAGTAAAGAAAAAACTGCTATTTTTATTGCCAAAATTTCAGTGCATCACTATTCAAAAAAGTGCATGACCAAAAAAAAATAAAAATAAATTTGTTGTTGTTTTGGGACATTTTTATTGGATTTATTTTTTTCTTCATTTCAGCTGAATATTATCGGTTTCAAAATAGTGATGCAGTGGAATTTTGGGAACCGAAAATATTCGGCTGGAAAAAAAATTCTGATATTTTCAGTTCATTACAATTTCAAAACTGTATGCGTGCATGTGTTGGAAAATTCTTTTTTTAACCTCAATTTTTATTCATTTTGTTATTTGTCCAAAAATGCAAAAAATAAATTAAAATTTGGATTTTACAATATTTTTGGTTGCCAAATTGTTGGTGCATCACTGTTAAAATAGTGTGTGCTTGCACGTGTCATAAAATTTATATTTTTTGTTGGAAAACTTGATTGGAAATAATTTTGTCCTATTTAAAAATACTGATACACAGAAATTTTGGCAACTGAAAATATTAATCCTAAAAATAAAAATATATATGTATATATTTAGTGCATGCATGTATCAAAAACTTTTTTTTTTTTGCTGTTTTGGTTGAAGTAATTTTCAGTTTCAGACGAAATGGTGTTGGAGGGTGTTTAGTGCTTCGCCGATGACATGTTTTGACTGTGTCTGCATTCATTTCATTCACACAACACAGATAACACGTGAAGATGTCAGCTGACAGAACTCCTCACAGGTCTGTAGGAGCAGCACATGTTTGAGATGTTGAGCTGGGTTTCCATCAGATCCGTCTGAATGAAGGTCTTCCTCTCAGTTCTTCACATGTCTCACATCTTCTCTCTGCTGGAGATGAAACATGATCAGTGCTGTTCTCCGGCCCCGGCGGCACAGGAATGTCCTGAGAGAGAGAAAATACACTGATATACAGCAGAATCTCACAGACTTTCAACCTTTCACCTCAATTGTTTAATCAAGTGTCTACAGAGATTATAAAGAGTGTCCTCTCCTTTAAATGTATGCAATGGAAGTACCATTTCGGCCAAAACTGAAAATTAATTTTTTGCTGAATATTTTCAGTTGCCAGAATTCCAGCCCATCACTATTTCAAAATACTGTTTCATGGTGATGCACCAAAATTTTGGTGGCCGAAACAACAAAAAAATATATATTTTTGATGCACCACTGTTTCAAAATAGTGCATGCATGAAAAAAAAAAAGTTTGTTGTTGGAAAATTTTATTAGACATTTTTTTTTTTTGCCGTTTCATCCAAATATATTATATTTATATTATATATAATATTGAAATATTAATTTTCCAATATTTTTGGTTGCCGAAATTTCTATGCATCACTATTTCATAAAAGTGCATGTGTCGAAAAATTCATAATTTTGTTGGAAAATGTTATCAGAATAATTTTTTTGCTGTTTCAGACGAACAATTTCAGCTGCCAAAATTTTGGTGCATCACTTTTTCAAAATACTATTTCAAAATGGTGATGCACAGAAATTTCGGCAATCAAAAATATTCGGCCAAAACAGATTTCACTCACTCAAATTTTCCAATATTTTTAGTTGCTGAACTTTTGTTGCATCACTATTTTGAAACTGTGTGTGCATGCATGTGTCAGAATTTTATATATTATGTATTTATATTATATATAATATTAAAATATTAATTTTCCAATATTTTCAGTTGGCGAAATTTCTGTGCGTCACTGTTTCATAATAGTGCATTAAAATTGAAAATGTCATTATTTTGTTGGAAAATTTGATCAGAAAATTAATTTTTGCTGTTTCAACCAAATATTTCCTGTTGCCGAAATTTCAGTCTATCTCTATTTTAAAATACAATTTCAAAATAGTGATGTACAGAAATTTCGCAGCTGAAAATATTCAACCAAAACAGCAGGAAAATGAATTTTTGTATTGAAACAGTGTGGAAAATTCTTTTTTAAATTTATTTATTATTTATAATTATAAAATTAAATACTATTAAATATTTGAATGTTGATCAATTAAATACATTTGATACTTTATAATTAAACAAACTTTATTTTCAGTTGAGGTTTTCTACTGTTTCGTTGTGTTTAGGTTGTGTTTTGAATTGTTTGCGTCAGTGACTTCACTGCAGGACCCTCGGAAGTGTTCATCGAAGAGACGGCAGGATCAGTACCTGATGTTTGCTGAGGAACAGATGCAGCGCATTAACTCTCTGCTCTCCAGATCAGCCTGCGTTTGAAGCTCACGTTCCTCTTCTGTGTGGTTTTGCTGCTGCGTGTAACCCGAGAGCGGACCTGAAGCACATGCAATGTTCATCTGAAGCAGTGAATATAAAGCTGGATTCACTGGAGTGCCACAAATCCAGATTAAACAAACTCTTCTGAAGTCTGCTCTAAAGGAAGGAGAGCTGCTGTAGGAAAATAAACACGTCTGAACATTCATTTTTTTAATCCTAAAACAGATTAGTAATGCATTTGAATGTCATCCCATACGGCAAAAAAAGAAAATAAATATATTTGAAAATATACAAAAAGAAAAGACCAAAAAATATTTGCTAAAATATGCTTTAAAATATATTTATGTAAATATATTT